AAAATAATTAATTTATTCATATTTGTAACTTATTGTCATACTATATTCATTTACTCTGAAGATGTCTTAGGTTAAAGACGAAACGTTAGTACTTCTTAAATAAATTTTATGTCTATATTATTGTCTATATGTCTCTTTTGCGTGCATTATGCTGGGCATTAATCTTTATACTACGATTACGATTCCCGCCTGGTTCATCACTTGCAAATATATTGTTATTCTAATGAGTTTCACCGCCATCTTCCCTTTGATAGACTGGTTAATTGACATTTAATTATACGAGAAGCTACTATTGTTTCTTTCTAAATTGTCTGAGATGTTTGAAGCGAGATCCCTTCATCTTAATAGTTTTGATAGAAATTCTTTCGAAATCCTCTTAATAATTGGCTTCCAACTTCCTATAGTGTATAACTTGTCGAATATATAGCGATCAACATTTCCCCCAAGGTTAGTTGGTTGGCCTTTTGTGCTTGACCATAGGCGTTCGATTTCGCTGCACCCACTGATCTCAAAAACTAGGATTGGACAGAACATCTACTATGCATAAATGAAGCAAATAGCGGCCATAATACTGCGACCACGGCAAATCTACAGTGGTGTTGCTGATATGTTGGAAGAGTTTCTTACAGTTTCTGCTAAATGGTAGGAATAAAAATTATTGCCTGGAGAGAAATTGGTTATTAGTACGATCCTCTTTTCCTTCTGAAATTTACCAGTAAAATAATAATTACTTAAATCACATCAACATGACCGCCCCGAAGTGATTCGACTTGTTGATTTCTGCCGTAAATGACTCGAGCTAACTCAGCTAGAATTTGTTGAGGATAAATTCATCAAAATATTGTATAAATAGGTTGGGAAGAGTCCTGGAAGGGCTTGAAGAAATAAAAAGTGATTTTCGTTGCAGATAGGCATGTTTCCACTTGTAGCGAACTATTTTCACCTTTGTGTTCACCATACAATTCGTGTAGCTATTGACTTGACTCGAGTGAAGCCATCTTGTCTCGACTCGGCTCCGAGTGAAGCAATTGACTCGACTGAACCAGATAGTGAAGTGAGTCGACTCTTGACTCAACCTTTGGGTACCCGACTCGTAACTCGATCTGTTGGTGACTTGTTACACCACTACCCAAGTCCCATTATTTCTTGTTTAAGACGATCCAAAACTCATTATAAGACGTAACGATCTGACTCGTGAATGATTTGACAGGGCGATTTTCCATTTCAGAACGTGGGGCGGGGGGGGGGGGCGAAGTTAGCCGATAGATGTGGAGGCATGCATCCCTTTAAATTTTGTGGTATTTTCGCAACAATTATTTACGGCATAATTTATTCCAGGCTTAAGGAGGCTCCCTACAGTTCCGTGCGGAATGTTCGCGGGACAAGTACGGGAACTATCCCACGCAACTGCATGATCAAAACAAAACAAAAATTGACCATGCTTTTTTAAAAAATAAAGCTATTTCTTAAAGGTTTCTAATGGAAAATAGCGTTGAATAATACTTCGTTTTGAGTGCCAAATCACTTGCGAGTCTATACAGCAATTCTACATATGATACGAATATCACTAGACCAAAAAATAGCTACGAAACAATATTTTTTAATTTTTTTATACACTGTCAACTGATTCAACTGTAAAACATTTGCAAAATTGCATAGAAACGTTTAAAAAGTTGTTTACTTGTCAAGAAAACGTTCACGTTTTTAGTCGTGTTTCTACAAGATTAAAGTGATTATATGTAAGCAGAAAAATATTTCAGAGTCATAGCCTAATTGTTCATTTTTAGCAAAAAGTACAAAACCAAACATGAAACAAAAAAACACGTCCACCTGTTAATAGGCTGTTACAGCTCATAGATTGAGTAAACGGCTTCAACCTTGTTTTCATCGATTTAATCCTTCACAATAATCCTTGGCTGTCCATAGCACTCAAATAAATCGAAAAGTTGACAAAAACAAAACAGTAAAAACAACATTGCGGCTCGATTTTGCTGAATGAAAACTCGTTCTGCGCCCGCGTACAGTCTTTTACTAGTCAGCGACGCTTTTCAGTAGGGGAATTGGCCGAATTTCTCGAGTTACACGAGGCTATTTTCTAACTTTATTTGCATTTTACTCATTAGTTTCATCGGTGACCAACCTCGTCCCCAGGGCCTTTGAGCTGGAGAAGGCCCTGGCATCGGCTAAAATTTACACCCCAAATTTTGGGGTGTAATAAATTAAGACCCATATAATATATTCAAATTATATGCAATATTTAATTCTGATGGCCAAGGAGCGGTGAACACGAATAACAGTATTTCACACACGGTATGTTGTCAAAATGTGGAAATTTTCTGATACGTTTAAGCGGTTACATGTAGCATTTGCTATGAATAATTTTCCCAGTTTTTGTTTGAAACCAAAGCAAGTTCAATGCTTTGAATATTTGCTTCAAGGCTTCGATGTGTTGTCGATTCTTCCAACTGGCTTTGGAAAGTCGCTGTTGTTTCAGCTTTTGCCAGACCTTTTGCCAGTTAAAAAGTTGTCCCAGAATATCGTTCTTGTTGTCTGTCCGTTATCAAGTATAATCGAAGAACAAATCAGTGCTCTGAGTTTGATTGGAATTCCAGCAGAAATTTTACCAAATACATGCCAAGATTCTTCACATTTATACAATTCGGAGTCGTTGTTTGATCGCAAGGAGGATACAAACGAACAAACTTCGGAAGAATGTAATGTAAACGTTTCGAAAGCAGTGATCGATGGAAAGGCGAAATTGTTATTTGCTCATCCCAAGCTTATTCAGGCGATGTTGTAACTAGATTAAGAGAAACCTTTTATTACAAATTATAATTGACAACAATGTTGCAAATTATGGCAATGCACTACTTTAATAAGCCTAGTTTCGATTTGGTCTTTATGTTGATACTCTATTTATACATCAGCCATATTACTGTAAATTATACAGATGAAGGAAAAAGTAAGAATAAAGAGCGCATAATGGCTGAATTTTACAGTTTCTTAATACCTAAATTTGTCGTGTTTTATAAGAAGGGAAACTGATTAGCATCTCAAATGGTTTTGTTTATGCAGACTCGTGCAGCTAATTATGACAACCTAATTGAGACCTATGGCTCTGTTTATACTCTGTTAAAAAGTTTTTTATACCTGTTAAAACACGACCAAAACAAACAAATAAGACAATAGATGCACCTGACATTGCAAGCTGACTCGGCTGCGTGAATTTTGGAATGATTTTCAAATTTCATGCACACATAAATAAAACACACTTTTACTTTGCTTTTCGCCTTTATATTAGTTGACTGTTTAGGAAATTAAATTAAAATAAACCGTATAGACATCACTGTGCTATTACAACCTGAATATATTAAGCTGTACACTTGTCACTTGTGTTGATTTCAATGGTCTTTGCATATAGCATATAGTCACGTGCACGTAGTTGTATATATGACAGAACTATATACAATCAATTTTCTGTAGTATACGTTTGGTAAAGTTAAGGCCAAGTAGATATCCATGAACATTGTATCATTTTGAAAAGTGAAACGTAAACACATATTAATAAAAAATTTACCTGTTTTGAGCAGCCACCTTCAATTAAGCAAAGCGTGTTCAATCGCTGAATCAGACTTAGTTCATGCCAACGTACATTCATTAGAATGGAATATAGAAACCCGTACTTTACTCGTAGGTCTTGCTTCGCTTTACCTCCTTCAACACCAGTGATTGCATTTAGAATCTCCATGACAAATGGGATATTGGTCTCCATTTCTTCCCACAACTTTTCAAACGAGAAGTTTATCATCATGCCGCATGAGTCTTGTCGTCCAGCGTGTAAAATAGAGCCTTTGTTTCTAAGGCAAAGGTTTTTGCAAGACGCATTTATATCATCAGTGATTTTTCTCTTCACCTCTCTAACTACGTTGGGACAATATTTCATAATTATATACGCGAGGACAGAGGCGTCTTCTGTTCGTGCAGCTGCTGTTATTTTCTCTATCTGACGTGCAGTGATCAGGGTCGAAGACGGGATTACAGTTGAGTTTGCGGTCGATGAAAAATCGAGCCTGCTTCTTACACTGCGAGTCGAAGTCGTAGTTGACTGAGCTATGTCTAGATGTATTGTACTGGGGCCAGGCACGTCCATCTCTGGTTCTTCTATACTCTCATCATCTTGTGACATTGATTGCCGTTTCGCCGGTTTTTTGTTTGAAATGTTGGGCGATTGCACAGGATATCTTTTCACAGTTACCTGCTCCTTTAAGTCAGTTTGTGCTTGTTGACATTTGCCTATGAATACATGGATTTTTTTAACGAAGGTTATGCATTTATTGCATACAGCCGTGGGAAGACCGTCCGATCTTTGTATAAAAATTCCACACGATTCGGATATTATTTTAACCAGAAACTTCTGTACTGCTGCTACCGATAAAACGTTTGTCATGCGCCGGCTTTCCGTTTCACATCCACATAATCTGCAGCATCCTTTATGTTTCTGTTTTAAATAAACTTTTCTAGGTGTAGATTGTGTACTGTTGTTCTCCATCGAAATACTGTATTGTACGCTCCTGGCTAATTGAATTTAAATAATATGCATATTTCGCATGTCGATTTCATGTATAATTATTATAATTATGCTATTTCAGTAAAAGGGATTTGACCAATGGGTGATAAGAACACCGCAGCCGATGCCAGG